TCCCACTCTGAACACTTTCTTTCCAATAGTGCTTTATTCCATATGTTGCAGAAAAAAAAATGAATACAAAACACATTTATTTGCTTTGGCAATATAGTTCACATTCTTAGTCCTGCTGATGATTGTCTTATGCTTTCAAAGTCTATCAGATTTAGTTAGGCTAATAGTGGATACTCTACTTTTACATATAATCCTTCTTCATATCTCAATAAACTCTTTACTGAAATAATAGCCATCCAGCTGCTAAATCCACCAGCTAATTAAACACTGTGTGAAAGGACATTTCTTTCAAAGCAGACTTAATTTTTATCAAATGATTACTCCATCTTAATTTGAATAATAATTATTCAAATACATTTTTCTTTTTAACCTCTTCTCATCTAAGTCCTTGCTTGGGCCCTTGGGCCCAAGAAAAACTAAAAATCTAACTGTGAGATAGCAAAAGAAGGCATGAAGAAGGCAAGGGGAAAAAGGGCATTAAATAGTTACTGGATTCTCATTTAGCCTCCAAATCTGGCTTCAGAGGGACTATTCATAGTTTAAAAGTTAAGCATAAAGCAGAAGGCTGTTCAAGATCACAGTGCCTTTGGCACAAGAATTGTTTCTCGCTATGAAACATTCAAGTACAATACTTATGAAAGGCCCTAGTTACAGTTGGATCTACAAAATTCAATGCAGTACAAAAACAAGTTAGAAAGAAGCATCTAGAAAAGAAACTTCTAGTAATTTCTACTAAGTCTATTCTTCAAATAAATATCTGACTGAGTTTTCTTGTATTGATTTGCCTTGCACCTCCATATTTGACTGCATATATGAATTACTGGTCAACATGTCTACTTTTCTACCCCAGACAGTGTTAAGAAGATGCAGTAGCCATGCTTAAGAATTCACACTTGAATTAATGCTGCTACAGAAGTGCAAAGATTTTCTCTAATCATGACAGTCTATAAAAAGTATGTAATGAGGAAGAGGACTTAACAATAGCTACTTTTTATGGGCTAGCAAACTATCTAGAGCTACAGGAGAAGGGTGTTTGCTATATGCTATTCAGTCCAGTCAGGATATCCTTTCCTTCATTTTGTAAAGGGAACAACTCTCTTAAATGCTTGCACATTTGATTTTCTTTCTCCAAGTGTCTATACCTACAAAAATCCCTTCTCACCCAAAACCAACCTATTTATTTCTCTAAACTATGACTGTATGGTGTGCCACTCAAAGGGAGACATTAGCAGATGTTTTTGTTTTGCTGTCTCATCTTCAGACTCCTTTTAAGGAGCTATTAGTCTTTAAGATTCCCTAATCCCCCAACTAAATTTATCAGCAGTTGATTGCAGCCAAGAGTTAAGCTAAATTAAACTTCGAAGTCCCTGTACAGTTGTATCAGATGCATGTCTGGTAGGGGAGGTGGAACAGAAAGCTCCAACTGTTCTACTTACCAAGAGATAGGAGAACCATGCTTTTCTCTAAAGTTTTCTCAAAGCTTCCACACAATCTTCAAGATCACCACAATTTTGCTGATTTTATAAGAGCAAGAACTCAACTATTGAAACAACTCAACATTTAACTCCATATCAGGTGTGTGCATGCATACATGTGCATAAATTTGCACACAGGTACATACTTTTCTCTACAAGTGTGTATATTATATATGGAGAAGGTATGTGTGCACACACACTTAGGTTAAGGTTCATGCATGCTTGAGACACCTGTTCCAACTGACACACATATGATGAATAGGTATCTACATGTCTCTCATATATATGTATCCATATCTCTCTCACACATAAATGTGTGCATGCATATGTACTTATCTATCTGTTCCCCAGGCTTTGATGTCACACAGTCAATCATACCGTTGTTTACTTCTCTCACACTCACAAGCAATTACCAGAACAGATATTCCTCCTGTTCTCACTCCTGCTCTCAGTGAGTGGTAAAATACAGTGTCTCATATAATTTGCATGTCATCATCAGTAGTTGGTTAGTTTTGATGGCAATGTATGATAATACCTTATTACCCCAGAACTGTGAAATTCTATGGTACTTCTGTGTCAGAAGAGGGTCGATTATGTGTCCTTACAGACACACCAAAAAAGAAACCCCAAAACAACCATATACAACAAGACATAAAAAGGGACAGTCCAGTATGTACTTTTTCTTAAACTCTTAACTGAGTTGAGACTACAGCTCTCTGCATTTAAAAGCGATTCTTGCAAACCAGGTCACAGTAAGCTGGTGAAAAAAAACAAGCTTCCTCTACAAAGACTTCACAACATTTACTCTGAGGACACATCAATGATTTGTTACCAAAATAACTTGTCTATCATTTTCACCAGGTTTTTTTTTTCAAGAGAGAAAGTGTGTGTGACAAGTGTGATTTCTGTTGTCTGTATCCCCATGGCTACTAAAAACAGAAAGGGAACTGGGCACATCACAACGCACGAAATATCAGGTTAAAAAATTTCAACACAACAGCTCATAGAAACAGACGCTTGCTTTCTTCCACCTTCATCCTCCCATATCACACTAAAGAAAAGGGAAAAAGAAGTCAACAGAAAACTAGCCAAAGCCATATAAGGGAATAAAATATGTCCTCTAGAAATGTAAACCTCTCTAAAAATAGGATGAAGGGCTAAGCAAGTCACTTGGTTTTACTCACAGCAGTAATAAAGGGTCCTTGTAAGGGATTCACACAAGTTCTGTGCTATTACAGTAGTATCTGTCTCCTCATTGCTGGAGAGAAACAGTGAAGAGGATTTAGAGCATGTGTAACCTGAGAGAGAAATCATCTGTCATTCCCTCACAGGGCATTAGCAAACTTTCCCTCTCCTAGGAGAAGTAAGAGCCTCTCTTCTTCCCCCGCCTCTTGGGATTATAGCTTTAGGCATTATTATAATATACATGTTTATGTATAATATTGATAATTAGAAAAAATCTAGCTCTATTAAGAAAGAGTAAGGGAAGCCCAGTTGAAAAAAGACAACATTCCATGCAATACACAGGGTAAACCTGGTAGCAAGGAAGACCTGAAGTAACAAACAGATGTTCTCTGTGAAACAGTTGATTTGTTGGTGTTTCAGTTGTCTGTCCTTTAACAGGAGGAAGTGTTGGAAAAATAAATTGCAAAAGTCAGATGATAGGAATGGAAGACATGGAGGTACTCTACCTCAGAGACCAATGAACTTTTTAGTATGCCCTGATACTTGTTTTTTCTTTCCCACATTAGAGGGTAGAAATGTCAACAGATGTGCAGAAAAGTAACAGACAATACATTTCAAAGAGCAAAGCACGATATTAATGATCAATTTACTGAAATATCTTATTCTTCTTCAAGACAGCAGCTTCTGTGTCCCACTGAAACCAAAACTCAAAGGGCCTGGGGCTACTGCCTCTTCCAAATAACTGTCAAAATACCATAGTATGAGCTAAAAGTGCTGTTGAGTATCATTCAGATCTGTACCACATGCTATTATATGTTGATCCTCCACTTGTAGATACAACATTTCTTTTACCTACACAAGGAATATTCACAAAGTTTTGAAAGGAGGAGTGCAAAACGCCCTGCAATAAGGTGATTTATTTAAGAGATCACCACTGTGAACTTTTTAGGAAGGAGAAACTATACAAACACCCAAAAGCAAAAAGTATGCCCATAATGAGCATCAGCTCAGATGTGCAGAACATTAAAAAAATGCAAAGTAAGTTTCTATAAAATGGGTTAGTCCAATAAAACTATTTTTTCAAAAATAATGTTTTGAAATCATAAGAATAAACTTTTTCACATTGCCTAGGAAAAAAATTAAATGCCCATATAATAGATTATGAACAGGGTGATAGGATGATTATCAGAAGGAATGTCGAAAAGGGAAAGGTTAGAAGCTGTTGTACACTGGTAATAGCAGGAAAAAAAATATACTTCCCTTATCATAGAATCATAGAATGGTTTGGATTGGAAGATCATCTAGTTCCACTGCCCTGCTATGGGCAGGGTCACCTTCCACTAGACCAGGTTGCTCAAAGCCCTGTCCAGCCTGGCCTTGAATGCTTCCAGGGAGGAGGCATCCACAGCTCCTCTGGGCAAACTGTTCCAGTGTCTCACCACCTTCACAGCACGAAATTTCTTCCTTATATGTAATCTAAATCTACCTTTTTCAGCTTAAAACCATTAGCACTCATCCCATCCCTACACTCCCTGATAAAGAGTCCCTCCCCATCTTTTCTGTAGCACCCTTTAAGTACTGGAAGGCAACTATAAGGTCTTCCTGGAGCCTTCCCTTCTCCAGGCTGAACAACCCTAATTCTTTCAGCCTGTTCTCATAAGGGAGGTGCTCCAGCCCCCTGATCATCTTTGTCGCCTCGTCTGGACCCACTTAAGCATGTCTGTGTCCTTCTTATGTTGGGGGCCCCAGAGCTGAACACAGTACTCCACCTGGGGTCTCATGAGAGCAGAATAGAGGGGGAGAATCACCACCCTAGACTTGCTGGCCACACTTCTCTTGATGCAGCCCAGGATGCAGTTGGCTCTCTGGGTTGCAAGCACACATTGCTGGCTCACAGTCAGTTTTCAATCCACTACTACTCTCAGGTCTTTCTCTGAAGTGCCACCCTCAATCCACTCTTTGACCAGCCTGTATTTGTTCTTGGAGTTGCCCTGACTCATTTTTCCTTGTTGAACTTCATGACGTTTACACAGACCCACCTCTTAAGCCTGCCGAGGTCCCTCTGGGTGGCACATCCCTTCCCTACAGCAGGCCGACCGCACCACACAGCTTGGTGTTGTTGGCAAACTTGCTGAGGGTGCACTCAATCCCACTGTTCATGTCGCCAACAAAGATGTTAAACAGCACCAGTCTCAACACTAACCACTGAGGAACGCCACTCGTCACCGTTCTCCACATTAGCAAAATGCCAGTGAGTCTTTCTTTAATAAAATTCTCTCCAGAAGACAGAGGATAAGGATGTTACAAAAGATAAACTCAAATGTTCAATCTGACATTTACCTGAGGGAATCGCAGATACAGCATAAGTGAATGAATGTCCATCCATTCTCTTAAGTTTAGCATAGGTAACAGAAGTAAAGATTTCCTACCTGCAGTCCTCCCTTTGGGTGACCTAAAGAGATAAAGAAGACAAAATACAGGAGAATTCAGTGTTTGAGTCTGATTCAGGCCATGAACTACATGGAGATATTCTTTTAGTGCCAGTAAGTTTGTTTTGTGTGTATGTGTTTATTAACAATGGGACTGGAGCTGCTCATTTCATTGGAGTGACTGAAAGAGTACTAGAGAATAATGACTTATATTTACTGATATTTTCCTTGTCTGGATTCAAATCATGACCTAAACTTGAGAAGACATCTCATTTACCAATCATGTAAATGGAAGAATTGTTTTCTAATGAAATATTGACAATAAATCATCAGCTGACACAACCCTGCTCCTTTTCTGCTGCTAGCTATAGATTTTCTTAGCCAGCAATTTCCATTTGAAAGGTTGGCAGGAAAAGCCCCAACACGCTATTTGAGCATCATCACTGCTATAAAATTCTTCTCATTCGCTGTTTACCCAGAAAGTGCTAAGGCTTGGACAACCGGCCCAAGCTAGAGTTGACCTATAGATGAATCCTGTATATTTTACAACTGAAACCATTGCGCTAGTAGGTATTATACTAAGTTATAACAACACACTTATGCTGATGTAAAAAGTGCTAAAGCGTTGAAGTACTGCAGCCTGAACAACAGGCCCCAAGCCGAAGCTGCTAACTTAGTCTGTAATCATTAACAACGTATGTAAACTCGCTAGTGAAAGATGCAGCTTAGACAAAATAGAATCAGGAGTGAGGAGAGAATGTATCCAGCTTCCCTTGTTTAGCTTTGTTCAAGGCTGAGAACCCAGGTATTTGGCCTTGATAGAAACTCCCTTAGTTTCTCCCCCTGAGCCCTGGCCAGGCTTTGGGTGGAATCCAACAGGAGAATGAAACCAGAAATTTTCCGCTCAGAACAAAGGTGCCAGCTATTCTGGCTTGTCCATCTCTGGTATGTAAGGCTGGGCCCGTTTGCAGTGACTTTGGAAGCCTCACCTGTGGGTGGACGCACCGCGCAGGATTTTCCCACTTGCCGAGACAGGGTCTCCAAATCTTCACTGTAACTGGGGCTCCCCAGCCACTGCGGGTCTGGGGGATGATAATATATGCAAGGGGTATTTTTCTTAATCTCCATTCTCTTTCTCATGTAGTAATGATTTAATGCATTACCCTGTTTTTTGCTGTTTGCTGTTTCAAGTGCACTATTCTGCTTTTTCTTACTGCATGTTTTCTGTATTACACTGTTACATTGGTTATCACTAGTAAAATACGCCTGCTCTTTTCACTCTGGTGTCTGGGTATAATTGGTATCCCTAATCAGCAGAACAGAAAGATATGACTCCTTTACAAACCTGACTTTTAAATCCATCTCACCATGCACTAACAGCTCTAAAACAAATTGTAAGAGCATAAGAAAAAATCCTAACAGATTAATTGAAGAATAAGTATCAAAATTTGGATTACCACAGGATTCCAACTGCTCAATCTGAAGTCAGATTTCCCCAAAACCTGTTGCTTTGATGGCTTTCCTACCAGCAGAACAATATAAATGTGACTAAGTAATGAAGCCATCTTTCTGCTGTGCTAGTTTTTCTGGAATATAACCCCTGTGGTAATAATTACATGGGCTTATCCATCCCAGTGTGAACAACACCAGAGTATCAATTATGACAAATTATGACAAATGTCTGATACCCACAAGTGTCTGTTGTAAAGAAAAACAACTGTTTCCATTCTCTTAACCTTCAGGTCAGGGTTTCCCACTGGGACTAACAGCTTTTCTCCTTGCTGTAAGTATCCATTAGAGAGTTGCTAGGAGGTGTTAGGATATACACACCTACTCTTTCAGCACTAGATTTTTTTCTTGTTTGGTAATCTGAGCATAACTCTAACCAGGGGTTTACACAGAAACACCTATCACTGTTTTCCATTTGTGTTATCTCCTTTGGCTGATACTGTTCAAGACATTTCACTTTCTTTTCCACACCATTTGCAATGGTGAGCTGGTGAGTCCCCAAAGCCCACTGGTAGCATAGACTATTAGTTAGCTCCTTCTAGCCTCTGGGGTATCTCTTGTAGCCATTTGATATTTTCAGATTTTGAGCCAATTATCAGAGGAGTCATATGTAAAAATGGAACCACTAAGCTTTGATCCTAGGAATACAAACTTCTCTCAGGCAAACCAAAGAATTGTCTGTTGCATAGACTATGAAGAAGTAATGGAACCTAAAAGCCTGAATCAGTCTGATATACACCATCTGGCAAAAGGAAATTATAATTAGTATATACAAAACAACTGACATTTTCAGTCACAGGGTAGTAGTGTAAATTATATATATATATATATATATATAAAATATATATATATATATATATATATATGCTCATATGCAGCCTAAAGAGGGCATATATGAATCCAAGAGCAGCATATATGCAAAGAGTCACCATAAACATGGACTGAAGTTTCCTGTTTTATATTAGCAAAATAAAATGTGGGGTTGTTTTTTTGTTTTTTTTTCTATGAGTACTGTGAGTCATTCTTTTAACAAATTTATTTTTCATATACATTCTGTCCGACTGATCTTTCCACTTTTCACACATGTGTGGTATTATAAACTACACAGAGGAAAATAATTTAAGAACCACTATACTGGATCAAAATAAGTTTCCTCTAGTCCTCTAAACCAGTATCCTGTTCCCAACAGTGGACATAGACAAAAGCCTCTGGAGGAATATAAGCATAAGGCAATCACATGATGACACCCCTAATCCTATCCCAAATCCCAACCACTTTAGCTCAGGAACTTCACAAGCTGGATGTGGCCTGTATGAGTTTGGTAAGATTCAATGGATGTCTCTTCCATGACTTTGTCCATTGTCCTCTCCAAAATATAAAGCTCTCAAAATCACAACATCCTTGGTGGACTAAATTCAGTAAGTGCTACATTCTTTACTATGTAAATGTATCTTTTGAAAAAGCTACAAGTTGTACTCACCAACATGAAAGGTTTAGTGGTACTTTTGCCAGGAAAAGTGCTCAAAATTCTGACAACTTCTAATGTAGGTATTGACATTTCATCTTCCTAATAATTCCTAATTGTGTTATATTAAATAAAACTCATATTTACTCCTACTTCTCCAAAAGACTTTTGGTACAGGGTTTCTGGAATCCTGAATCACAGTATTGTATGGTTTATTGTTATATGGAGCACCTAAGGCATCTCATTTCAGCTAAGAAGGATAACAATATGATATTTCTTCATTTTTTTAGAAGTAAGATGGAAGAGGACAATATACCTAGGACCTTGTGAGAGGAGACGAGTTTGACAGCAGAAGCAGGAGGAAGAAATATATACTTATATCATAACTTCTAGGAAAAACATCAGAGAAAATACTGCCATTGTAAGGATTCCTATTCTGCCTCTAAACATAGGTGAGACCAGCACTGAGCTTTGCCTTAGAGGAAAATGAAGGAGTTCCTATATAATGAATGTTGGGTATAAAACCCTTCAAAATGTTTTTAACCAAAATATGCTGCAAGCATACAAAATACTTTTAAAAATACTTTTAATTATTGTGTGAATACTTTCCAAATCTGAATGCAACATAGATGGGTACTAGATTGTATGTACATCTTGGACTACATCAAATTCAACCTGATTTGTCACTCTTGTCTTATATAACAGGTTGAAGACTGTAATGGATGCTTTAGAATAATCTACAAGCTTAGACAGCAAAGTAACTCCATGTTATGCTGGGCACCACAATACTGAGAAGATGCCAACAAAACCAGAAGAATAACAAAAACAAGTAAAAAAAAAAAATACAGGTCTAGAGAGGCTGATACATGAGAAAAGGTGTAAAATAAAAAATTCTGTATAGCTTGGCTAAACCCAAGGACTGAATGATATTATAACTGCTTGTAAAATCAAGTGAAAGGCATAATCACCGAGAAGACAGTGGAAAAGAAGGCTGATCCAGAGACTTACATGAGATATTGCTGAGATAAAAATATATGAAAGCATTTTAACTGGCAACCAAGAAATATTTCTTATCAATCAAACCTCTAAATTTTAGAATATTCTTTCATATAAAGGAAATCATATGGCTTCTTTAACAAATAAGTAAGAAAATAAATGCAGGGCAAGTGAAAGATGACTGAATGTTGGTATCCCTGAAGACTGAAGCTGCTTGTCACAATACATGTACTAGACATGGGAGACAGCAGCAGGGCAAGCTTCCTTTTTGAAGTGCTATGCTAGCACTATGATGATAATATCAAAAATTTTGGGTACATTGGCTGATATGGACCTGCAGCATCTTATTATTCAAATTCGTTATTTATATGTGTGGGAAAAAGAAATTATAATAGATGAGTGTCCCAATTAACTCTGCAGTGTATATGTATCCTAAAAGGGAATCCCAGCCCTAATCTTTTCCTGAATGCCTGATTGAGATAATAGTACATATGTAACCACATTACTGAAACTGATGAGTGCAGTAACATGAACTTCCTCCCTAAATTCTATCATTTCACACAGGTAAACTCTCACAAACCTGTGGCCACAATGCTCCATGTCTTTCAGCTTCAGGCAGATTTGTATGAATAACCCAGAAGTGTCAGAGTTTTGAGCTTTATTGTATTCTTGCCATGAAAAAATCCCAACAATAAAACCCCTTTTAATTAATTAAATACTTGACATGTAACAAAGACCTCACTATATGCCCACTGAGCATATATATCATAAATCTGCTTCTCTCTTTGTAAATAAGCCTCAGTAGGAGCTAACTAAAAGGATAAGAAAGGATTTCCACTAATCAGAATTGTTTTCACGTGGCTGAATTACATAGAGGAATCACAGTGACCTGCCCTGCACTTGGTCTCCTTTCACCAGTGGACGAACGCATGCATTCCAGTGGGTCAGACAGAAATGGAAGACACACACCAGTAGCCAAAAAGACAGTCCTACATCCTTACCCTCTCTAAGCTGCCAAAAGAAGGTAAAGAGAAAAGTTGTACTGCCAGGTAC